GGAGGTAGCAGAAGGCTTATCTTGTGTGAGAGTTAATGATGAGGATCAGCATGGCCCATCTCATCAATAACCAAGCAACTGCTGGTGTTCTCCTTTCGGATGGCTTCATCCATGTGCATTGTCAGAGCAGAAGGCTTATCTTGTGTGCGAGTTAGTGACGAGGATCAGCATGGCCCACCTCATCAATAACCAAGCAACTGCTGGTGTTCTCCTTTAGGATGGCTTCATCCATTTGCATTGTCAGAGCAGCTGGTTCTTTTTTCTGGCAACCACATACTCCGTCCTCCCTGTTGTCGGAAGACTGGTATCAGTCATCTGACAGTCTGCAGAGTGAATTGGCTATCTTGCCAAATCTTACCAATTGTGTTGTGCTCTGGTGAACAGGCCTGGTGTCATGCGGGCAGTCGCATTGCCCGCCATTTATCGTCCATTTTTACAGGTATGAACTTATGAAGTGTTCTTTTTTTTTGTTTGCCTTTCCCAACATTTTTTCATTAACCAAAATTTGGATTGGGGAGATTTACAAAAGAAGTGGAAGGTTGTCAGGCAAGGGGTGACTGTAAGCCGCTAGCGGGAGAGAGGCCCACATGGGCGAGGGCGGCGTCCCGGGATGGTGGCAGTGGATCTTGCACCAAGCATCACTCTTTCGGTAACGAAACTTAGGATATAGTTCAAGCCTCCAGTGGGCAAGGTTATCTCTGGTGTGACTGGAGTTGGTACTACCTACTACCTAGTCATGTTCTGCCCTTGAAGTGGGAGGCGGATTCGATGGGGGGAGGGGGTAAGCATTGAGGGGTGGCAGCGCTTGGCATGGCATTTTGAGAGCAGTTGCTGGGAGGTCTTTGTACCACTTGTCATGGCACTTCAAGCTCAGCAGTCCCTCCAGCCCCATCCACAGGTACCAGGTCCCACGACAACCTGCCATCCGATTCCTACACCCCTGTGCCCCTAACCCCTACCCACCCGCCCTTCCCTTCCGGAAAAAAAAGCTCTCCCTCCCTGACACCCCTATTTGGCTCCTGGCCTTGCCTGTCACCCTAACTCCTGAACAGCAGATCCCTCCCTGCGGTGCACCCACATCGACTGTCCCCTTGACCCAGACCTGGCCTTCTCCGCGCCAGGAACGCCACCTGCACCCCACGGGCCGGCCCTGCACCGCATGACCCCACAGCCTCCTCAGCACCCAGCACTGCCTGACTCTGACTTCCCTTGAAGAGCCCCCCCCCCCAAGCCATTCCTGCCTGCCAACTGACATTGGCATCTTTTTTTTTTTTTAAGGAGCTGTGGCAACGAATGTTGGTATGTCAAGTTGAGCCAAGTTGTGGCATTCTCTTGGCGAGCTATGTAAGTTGTTTGGAGGTTGAGCAATTTTTGCTGTCGGGTTAATGTTCCCGTCTGGTATTCCACAAGCGTGACGCCGAAGGTGCCAAAATATAACATGGCAATCAAGTGGAGAGACGTTCAGGCGTTCCGATCTTCCGTGTTGCCGATGCTGGCGATGCTCGGATGCTGTTGATGCTGGCGATGCTCGGATGCTGTTGATGCTGGCGATGCGGCTGCTTGAAGAAAGCTGATGTGACAGACAATTCATCGAACATTGGCGCCTTTTGACACCAGAGCAAAACAGTGTTGAGATGGATGGGGGTTCCCATGCCATGGGGATAATGGCAATGGTCGGGGGTTCCCATGCCTATGAATGGGAAAAGCTTCTTTTAGGGGAGGGAGGTGCCCCCTCTGACTGGCTGTGGAGTTCCTTGAGTGAGATGGATGCCCTTTCTTGAACAATGGATGGCCATTTGGATTGGGCAGTGCCACTTCGGGAAGTGGTTATAGCTTGCGTGGTGCGGTCTGTGCCTACAAAGGTGGCACTCCTTCAAAATGTTGTTGCATTCATTAACTCATTTATATCGTCACAAACAGAACTGCCCGGTAAACCGTAGGCAGAGAGAGAGAAGAGGACAACAAACGAGGGGCTGTGACAAACTGTTTGCCCTCGTTTCTTGTCCTCTTCTCCCTCTCTGCCTATGGTTTACGGGCAGCTCTGTTTGACAATATATAGTAGGAGGCGAGGAGCAGCATTGGTTCGGGATTGGAAACAGAAAAGTTCTTGGTTCATTGTGCCTTCTCGAAGTGATTTTAGGCTCCGTGCTGATCCATGCCTGGCATGTCGGATTAGAGTCGATACCCAAAACACATCAACATCACAATCATTATGGTCAATCCTGAGTGGTTTCTCTATAGTACAAGTGTCCCAATGTTCCAGTGTTTGAACTTGAGTTAGTGACATAGACAGAGGATTGAACAACATACTGACCTGTTTACAATTCAGAATGCTGCTGTCGGTGCACTCCTGCGCCCAACAGATGGATGATGTGCTGCTTTTGCTTCCCTGTTTGGTATAGATACGTTTCCCCTCCTTTTCCTGTGCATTTTGTTTTTCCCTTCTTTTTGTGTGTAGTGTATTTCTTTGTGAGAGAGAGTGAGCAACTCTGTTCATGAGCGTGAGAGTGTGTGTGTGTGTGTGTGTGTGTGTGTGTGTGTGTGTGTGTGTGTGTGTGTGTGTGTGTGTGTGTG